CCCGGTCCACATGCCAACACCAAGCACCCCCCCCCCCCACCACCACCACCACCAGCAAGCGGCGCACTCACCCGGTCCACCGCCTGCAGCTCAGCCAGCGCCTCTGGCGGCAGCACCTTGGCGTCGGCCACCAGGCGGCACAGGCGCATGTTGTGCACATTGTTGTGGGGGTGGGCGATGGACAGCCACTCGAAGAACCTGCGAGTGTGCGGTGTGGTGTGTGTGTGTGTGTGTGTGTGTGTGTGTGAGGGTGTGGGAGTGGGTGTGGTTGTGGGAAACTTCAAAGGGAGGGTAGCAGGTAATGTGCGGGGACGGCTTGGGGTGGGTGACAGGAGCGGGGTGTGGGTGCGTGGTGGGGTGCTGCCATGCGGCGGGAGGACGACCGGCCAGGGTTTTGTGGATGGAAAGGGGGCGAGGTGGTGGCAGGGAGCCACCCTGGTGCCGCGTGCTGCCCTGCCCAGCCCGCCCAGGCCGCCCCCAAAGCCAAGCGCGGCCCACCTGCCAGCCAGGCCTGCCGCCGCCACGTCGCCCACCCAGCGCGTGTTGAACTCCAGCAGCGCGCCCAGCAGCTTGAGCGCGTACCTGGGGCGCGCGGGGCGGCGGGGCGGCGTCATTTATGCACGCTGAGCACACACAAAACAATGAGCACTCACGCAGTCCGACAGCCACACATGCCGCCGCACACGCCATGCCACCGCCACCAACACCCCTGCCACAATGCCCCCGCCGACCGCTGCCCTGCGCCTGACCCTGGGGTGCGCCTGTGCCGGCAGCTCACAGGGGCATGGGGTCCTCGTCGGCAAACAGAGCGGGCATGAGCGGCAGCACATACTGCGCCACCGCGGCGTCGATCAGCTGGTTGGCAATCCCCGAGTCTGCGGGGGCATCAAGAGGGGTGGGTACCAGATCAGGGTTGGGGGTAGGGTGGGTTGGTGCGGGTGTAATGTGTGAGTGTGATGGCGTGTGTGCGCTGTCAGCGGGGGCGGCCTAGGGGAGAGCTGCCGGCCTGCAGTATGCCCAATGCCGCTCCACCAGCCGAGGGGGGGTAGCGGGGGGCAGCGCTGGGCCCCACGCTCGGATGGCGGCAGCGCCGGCACCGCCACCGCACCCACCTGCGGTGGTGTGCTCCGACTCGGTTGCGCTGATGTAGAGGCGGGGCTCGTTCACAAACTGCGGGAGGAAGGTTGAAGGGGAGAGTGGGCGCCGGATGTGCGAGGAACCCATGAAATGCGGGCAGGCAGGCAGGCGGGCGGGCGTCGGAGGGAAGCGGCATGGGCGGCGGCGGCCACGGCAGCAAGAAAGGCCTGGCCGCTGCCTGGCCGGCCTCGCCTGCAGCACGACGTCACACAGCAGCTTGAGGCAGCAGAAGCGGGTGTCAGGCGTCTCTCGCTGGCTGGCGACTGCAGGGCAGTGGCAGCGGCAGCGGCAGCGGCAGGGGCGGGGGCAGGGTCGGGGTCGGGGTCGGGGCCAGGAAGGCAGAGGCTGGGTGGGCGGACACAATGGTGGCCAGTGGAGCCATGGTGGTAACCGCGGCGGGCGGCGGCGGCGGCGGGGCCAGTCCCGCCTGCGGCGCTTGTGTCAGGTGCTGCGCAGACATCTGCGCAGGCACCCCACCTGCCGCGGACAGGGCGGGCAGCAGGTGGCTCAGCACTGTGGCATAGTGGTCGATCAGGAGCTCCGGGTGGGAGCAGATGGCGTCGATGGCGTTCAACCCGTGGGCCTGCTATAAGCGGCGGGGGAGGCTGGCTGGCCGGCAGGGTCGGTGCGAGGGATCCAGCTGGCACTCCAGCTGGCATTACAGAGGGAGAGACCGGTGCCTTGGCCGCGCCTGCGAGGGCAAAGCAGAGGGCGCGCAGCAGCGGCAGCACGCAGGCGCAGTCGGCACCCCGCACTCGCCTTGAGCTCCTGATGCAGCGCGGAGGCGGCGCTGCTGCCGCTGCTGCTCAGCTCTCGGGTCAGCAGGTCTGCCAGACCCGTGATGAGCCCGTCGCACACCACCACCTGGCGGAAGGCCACAGACGACAGCAGCTGCTGCAGGGCCTCCAGAGGCTGCAGCACGCCGCCGCCGCTGCCGGCGCCGCCGCTGCCGCCGCCGCCGGCGGCGCCAGCGCTGGCGGTCGCGGCGCGGGCCGCGGCCGCGGCCTGCCGCAGCAGCGGCACCGCGTTGCCCGACAGCTGCTGCAGGAAGCCGGCCACCGCGGCCGCCATGTACTGCTCCGAGCTGCCTGCTGCGGAGCCCTGGCGCTCTTTAGAGCACAGCCGCTCGATCTGGGGCAGCAGGCCGTGCCAGGAGACGACGGCGACGAGGCCCGCGGGGCTGCGGCACAGCAGGCCCAGCGCCACCAGCGCCTTGGCTTGCAGCATCTCGGCTGCAGGGCGGGCAGGGGGTGGCGGGCGGTTGGCTGGGTGGGCGCTCCTGCAGCTGCCCCCAAGCGCGCGACATGCACCGCGGCATGCCGCACATGCGACACACCACAGGCTGGCCACCCCGTCCCGGACACTGCCCGCAGTCCCTGCTAGGCTCACCCGCATTGTCCAGCAGGCCATTCAGCCCCTCCAGCACAGCCTCATCCCCCAGGCACAGCTCCCCCACGCCCGCCGCCAGCTGGCGCGAGCAAAGCAGCTGCGCCAGGATGGTCACACACGCCTGCTGCACGCGCGGGCTGCCGTCGGCCAGGCCTGCAGGGGGAGGGGGGCAGCGGGCGGACCAAAGCGGCGGCGCGGCGGGCAAGAGCGCGCGGTCGGCAAGTGCGCCGCCAGCAGCCTGCGTCGCCCTGCCTGGCTGGCAGCGCTGCCGCTCCTCCACCCACCCTGCCTGCTGCCGGGCCCCGCCCCTGCGCCCCAGCTCACCCGCAGCCACCAGGTCCAATCCCCCCGCCTCCACAAACGACGCCAGGCAGCCCGGCTGGCAGCGCAGCAGGCGGCAGAGGGCCGAGGCGGCGGTACCGCGCAGTACATCTGGCAGCTTGCTGTCCACGAGCTGCAGGCGTGAGCGGGTGCCTCTTCTTGGCATGCGGTCATCGTTTGCATGCGGTGATTGGTAACAGGCAGAAAGGACGAAGGCCGGTCCACAGAGCGTCCGGCCCGCAGCCGGCCACCCGCCCCACCTGCGCCAGGCGCCCCGCCGTCTCCGCGCTCGCCAGCTGCTGTGCCCAGGGGCCACCCAGCCCAAACACGTTTTCCAGCGCCTTGGCGGCGTAGTGCTGCGCCGAAGGGGCGACGCGGGCGGCGGCGGGGCACGGGGGCGGCAGGTTGGGCAAGCAGTCAGCATGCGGAGGCAGGAGAGGGGCTGAGGCGGGATGGGCGGAGGGAGGAGAGGGTGCGACACATTCTGATGTGCGTGCATCCCTGGTGCCGAGCTGCCCCTGCGCTGCCTGCTTCAGCCGCCACCACCACCGCCACTGTCCCGGCTCACCCCCGCCACCGCCACCACCACAACCGGCCCCACCACCGCCGTACCAGCCTCACCCCCCCCACACACACACACACACCTGCGCCACCTCGTCCTGCCCCGCCTGCAGCAGCCCCGCCAGCCGCTGCACGGCATCTGTTGTGAGGTCCCAGGGGGGCAGACCCTGGGCTGGCGTCCCAGGGCCGCCAGAGGCGCCAGAGCAGCCCCCTGCCGCGTCCCTGTGCTGGCTGTCTGCGTAAAAGAGGAGCTCCCCCAGCGCGGCGGCGGCCCGCCGCTGCAGTCCCGCGTCCTCCATCTGGCGCACGGCGGCGGCCAGGGCCCGGCACGCGCCTGCGGGCATATGAGCAGCGGCGGAGGGGGGCAAGCGGGTTTCTATGGAAAGACGGGCGCCAGCGGAGCAGAGGCGCCCCCCGCCACGTCAGCCACAATGAGAGCCAGCTTGCTGCTTGCAGTGCAGGGCCCGGGGGGGACGGCTTGCCGCCGCTTCACCCGCAAGGCCGCCGCAAGGCCACCCACCTGCCTCCGCCAGCCCCGCGTTGACGCTGGACGCGTGTCGCACCAGCAGGCCCAGCAGGTTGGCGGCGCGCAGGCGCAGGGCTGGGTCCTTGCCTCCCAGGTCCAGCAGGGATACCTGTACCTCGGGATACCGTGGGGGTGTGTGGTTGGGTGGTTGGGTGGCTGGGTGGGTGGCTAGGAGGGAGCTCTGGAAGGTGACGGGGCATGGCAGGGCGGCGGCGAGCGCCAACGACCCACCCACCACCCGCCGCCATCCCACCACCAGCAGTGGTCCGGCCCCGTAGGCCCCGAAGATC